GTCTGTCTGTCCTCGTGCATCTGTGGGCCGAGAAAGAGGCATAATGGAGAAGTCCAAAAAGTGCTCTTTCCCTTGTCTGTAATCCTTATTTGCAATGATGCATGCGATACGTCGTACGTTAGAAGCTCTGCTGATGTATTGTTTTCATGGGATACCATCATTTCGAAGCAAGGTATCAGAATCTTGTTAAAAGAAAAAGAAAGAAGAAAGAAAGAAGGAAATGAGGTAAGGGAATTTGGATCACAGAAATATTTGGGCTGTGAGGCTCAGGATTTGGTCGTAATATGCTTCGCAGTGCGTATATCAATTTATTTAGAATAAAGTGCCAAAGTGCTTTTCCAAAGCAACAAGTTGCTGAAACTGCATCTTTAGTTTAGAGAGGAAAGAGCGGGCAGTTGTGTCCTTTGCTGAAAAGGTTTGTAGGAGCGGTCACATTGTTTGTTGATGCAAGCAGGGCTCAATTCTTCGGCTAGTTTCCTTGGCTTTGGCTAGTGCCTGGAATTGTCAAGTGCAAGTTGCTTTAGGCGGGCACTAGATTTTTGTTTTTTTTGCGACATTACCATCAGAAACAGCGGACTTTAATAGCGAAAAAACCATGCATGCAAACCAATAATTGCTGTAGTAAAGCACAAATCATGAAGCTTTTTGGCGATTGAAAGTTCTTGGAAACCGACTCTCAATTCATAAACTGCATAGCTCAACGTTGTGCAAGGCATGGTAGTGGTGGTTGGCTGGAAGCTAAAAATAAAAGAACATGGGTAGGCTAGGGACTCAAAGGACATCGAACACGTTTCGTTTACTGCCAGATTATCACAAAACGCTTCCTCTTTCCTTCTGATTATTCAGAATAGTATTATTTAGGGTTCGTTTGGTTCCCCATAGAATTGGGGTTTAGAATTGGAATTGGGGTCCCAATTCCAATTCTTCAGTTTGGACACCGGCAATGCCAGAGAATTAGAATTCAATTTGAATTCTACGAGCCATCAATTCCACAAATTCAATTCTTTGGTAAGACCTAAGAATTACAATTCCAATTCCATAATTTCACCTCCTATTCGGGTTAGTACGCGGATCGTAATGGGTAAAAAATTAAAATCGGGTCAACTATGTGAGCAGCCCTCTCTCGCGATCTAATTAGTCACTTTTCCTCAACCGCAAGTGCTTCTTCTGTGCGTCATCCCCTTCACCGCCACCCTAACATTTTGTCTCTTCCACCACCGTCTCCGGCATCGCTCTGCCACGCATCTACCCATCACTTCAGCAATCGCAAGACTGCTCCAAACTGGGTTCTTCAGTCCGGAAGGTAACAACTAAAAGCTCTCCTTTGCCTTCGATTTTTAACTTTGCAGCATTGAATATTGAATTCTGAATTTCTTTGACTCTAACGGCTATGCCCCTTTCGTGCTCTGATGGCCAGTGATTTGATGTCTCTCAGATCGTACCAGTGAATCGGCCCTCTCACCTTACTTCAGTACTTACTACCTGCTTTGGTAATTTGGATGGGGTGGAAGTCCCTGGGATGGCATTTTTGTTTTTGATGGCCTTGCATGATTTCAATGGCTCGAGTCTTGCCTTGATGTTTGCCTCTGCCATTCATAAAGTTTAGTTTATTAGTGCATGGTTTCGGTGGTAAGTTTGCCCTTCGCTAGGTTTTTCATAACTTACTTGGATGCACAGAGTGTAAGAGGAGGAGTAGATTAGTATTTTATCTTACTTGGAAGAAAAAGAAGAAGGAAATTGGTCCAGAAACTGATCAAATCACTTTTATGCTGCCTGCAACAAAAGTATTTTCTAACATTTAGACTAGACTGTTTTATGATTTCATTCTGTAAGGGAGGCCTACCTCATCGAAAATTTTGTTGAAAACTTCTTATGTTACATGGTCACATATATAAACTTAAAAACTTACATCGAACCAAATGCTTTGGGTCCAAAATGGAAGATAGGAAGAAGGTGTGGAAAATACAAAAAATCAGATTCAGTTTACCATGTACTTTTAGGAATTGGCATTAGGTTACTGAAATTTTGTCATTACTCCCTCAACCATTTAAACATTAAAGGAAAGAAATTGGAACCGGAGGCTCCACAATGTTGTCAAATTTGGTGCCCAATTTGACAAAGCCGGTACATCTACATGTTGGTAAACAGAGGAAGGATCATGGATGGTTTGGACTCAGAATTCTGTATTGATACTCGTCCAAGCATGAGTGATGCTGAGGACGCATAGATTACTGTTATCGTTTATTGTACATGTTAGATAATGTAGTGAATTTGGAGAACCTTGGCTTCCAGTCAATAGATAAGTCCTGTGTATGTACGTTGTCGCAGTTATTCAACTAGAGTTTGATATATAGATGTATGCTAAAATAGTTTTACCAGCAATTACCAAGGTCTTTTATATTTTAACTGGTGCTTGAGACTTCTTTGAAGTTGTTAATTCACATATGCATGAAGGTCATTAAGTAAAAATTTGATTTTTGCCTGCAGCTTGGATGTTTGGCATGCTTTGAGCACTTAAATCCACTTTCTACTGACTTATCCTTTGTCTTCTGCATTTTGAGTGATTTAGTAATCTCTCTTTCTGTCAATGTTCACTTGAGCTCTTTGATATATATGGTCTCTTTTTGGGGGAAAATGAACGACATCATACTACTGCTTGAATGGATATGGAATTCAAAATACAGGGGTCATTACTGACTTCCAGTTTGATTGGTGACAGAAATTGGAACCGGAGGCTCCACAATGTAGTCTTGTTTCTAGAAAGAAAGCTTTGTCGGGACTTTTCTGTTTCTTTCTTTTGTTGCAGTGTGCTGGATAGATTTCTAAAATTGAATTGGATAGATTTCAATTGTTGAAGGGATTTGACTTACTTATGAATGACAGGACAAAGTATGACACTTTTTCTGGTCTCGGAGATGACTTAAAAAAGGATTGGCTATTGATGCACATTGGTAATTGATTTTTTTTTTGGGTAATCTCCAGTTGAAGTTGTTTTTGTAGAAGAAGTTGAGCTGATTGCTGGAAGCCCAAGTAGAGCAAGTAAAAGTTGTTACTACTCCATCGTGTATCCATGACTTTTTAAATTCTGATGAGTTCTTTTGTCATTTTCTTGTCATTTATTTTTAAGAAAATGAAGAACATATGGAACAAATAGGAAAAGTTCTTGATTGATTTTCGCCATCCTGCTTAGTTGAATTCATAAACTCTGCTAAGAATGTCTGAGATCTTTATTTGTGAGTCAGTCCTGTGCCTTTGGAAGAATAAACCTACTTGTGTGAGACGTAGCTTGCTGTTGAGATGCTGAAATTTGTTTGCATTATCCATGGTATTCACCAATATCTGATGTTCTTCATATCTAGGTACTTAAGGTATTGACTTATGGACCAGCATTCTAAGTGCTGGATGTGTCATACCATGGAGCTTGCTGTAGGGTCTTTAGTTGGGGAGCAGAGCTGTATGCTTTGGGGTCTTCCTTTTTTGTTGCTTCTGGAAAGTAATTGAGATTGTTTCCTTTGTCTGTCAAGTAAACTGAATTTATTTGTTGAGAATGTTAATTAAATTGTTTTACAAACGTACTATTTGAGTTAATTAGTGACTAATTCAATGTCCAATATTCTACCATGTTTTAAGAAATATGCTAGTGTCATTGGGGATTTACTTTTAAGGGGGTGAGGTCCAATTTTGGTTGGATGCCAATATCTATACCATCTGGAAATGTTCACCAAAGAAATTGATATGAGAGTGGGAAAAAATAAATTATTAAAGGCACAAATTGGTTCTTTCTTTTAAATCTTTAGTAAAAATTAGCTAAATGTAAGAAAAAAAGAAATTATTATATAAAAAAGAAAAAAAAAGAAAAATTTTATGTAAGCAAATGTTTCATGAAAACAATTCTAATTCCTAATGAATTCTTCTCTCATACAAACAAAGAATTTGGAATTTCAAATAAATTCCGTATCAATTCTATACATTTCCCAAACGAAAGAATTGAAATGATTTGGAATTTCAATTCATAGAATTCCAATTCTATAGAATTTCAATTCTAATTCTGTAGAACCAAACGTAGCCTTAATCACTTTCTGATGAATTCATAGCTCCAAATTCACTCCCCGAAAGGGGAGTTTCTGGGCCAAATGCACATCAGGACGTCTTGGTAACATAATACTTGCTAACTTTTGCAAAGCAAGAATCTTTAGTTAGCATTTAGATTATCTTTTGAGTGAGAATTTATATATATATATTAATACCATGTAAAAAAAAAAAAAAAGGGAATCATTGCCATGGACGGTGGTGTTGCTATAGAATTGGATTCATGGCCAGAATTATCGTAAACATTTGCCAAAATATATATATAAATATATATAGGGGTATAAAAAGTTGTGTATTGTTCACAGTACACTCATGTGGATTTGCAGTTTCTTATTTTAACAATTGACTTGAGTTGAATCTTCTGCTTGGCTCTTAATCTTTTTTTGCTTTCTTTTTTGAAAAAGAGAGAATCATCGCCAGCAAGACAACACTAAAAATGAGATGAGGATGGAAAGCATTAGATGTTTGTCTTTGTCGGGTCGGTGACCGGGGAAAATGGTCAGATCAGAAGTGTTTCTCAGACTTGATTCTATTCTTATAAGTATGGGCATGGATGCTTAAGTCCGCTCTTGCCTCGTCATAACAACAGCAGGAGAAGCAGTTGGGTTCTCTTCATGGATGGATGGATAGGCACTGAGGCCAGAGATTTGATTAGCGTTCCCCGTTCCCAACCCAACCAGGCCCTTGTACTGTTTCCTAAATAATTGTATGCATTTTATTGATTTCTTCCTGTTTAGACGACAAACGTGGAGTTTGACGCGCAAATGGACCTTTCACTTTCACACATAAGTGGTAAGATAAGACCAAGACCGGCTAGATTTAGTTCATTTTATTGGGGTGCTGATGAATTGTTTGTGGATAACAAATGTTGTTCCACAGACAACTACCAGAAGTTGGCAGAGAAAATCTAGTTTGAGTTCCGAATGTCATCCTAGATTGAAAAATCATATGGTCAAGTTTTAATTGAAGTACTCCAATTCCAACAGCTTCTAAAGCCTTGAATCATGTGGTGGAAGGTTCATCAACTAGATGACATTCGGTCAGGTCAACGTTGTTTGGAATTGGAACGTGTACACCTGCTAATTAAAAAAGCGCAGCACAGCAACGCCCTTTTTTTCCATGCCGCAGTCTTAGCTATGTATGCGAACGTCCGGAGAGGGAGGACGAAGCCAGAAAGTAGGGAGGAACTTCCCTTCAAGCTACGACCCTTTTAAATGACCTAATTAAAAACCCAGTGTGGCCTCTGATTATCTCTGTCTGCTACACAAACTACCGTCCATGCACGCTATTTACATCCTTTTTGACAAACAAAACCTTGTAAAATAGGCTTCCATTCTGCATCGACTCAATGATGTATTGCGGCACTTAGCTTTGGAAAAATGAATTGTCATCTCCAAACTGGAATCCATGCAAAGCAATGCCATGGGTGTTACGATCACTAGGCCTTTGTCCATATGAAATTATCTGATGAGGTGTTGATGTTGTGCTGCTGTTTGAAAGGTGGAATGCCATGGTTGCTCCTTGATTTGGTGGGTTATAGTCGTAAAATGCTTTGGAGATACCATTCATATCGGAATTGGCTGATGGCTGAAGAACTGGGGACGATTCATCTGTCGATGGAGGTCCGTCATCATCAGGGGAGGGAGACTTCTTTTCAGCAAGATTTACGGTTGTGATATCATGAATGCTTGATCTCCTTTTATCTTTTCCCCCAGAAAGCTGCCTGATAAAGTACTTCTGGGCATGACTGGCGACCTGAGTCGGGGTCCTAGTGGTCACGAAGTTGCGAGATATATTTCGCCAGTCACCTTTACCATATTTCTTGAGACCCAAAAGAAATTGCCTGACGGTTCAAAATCAATAGATTAATTCGTGTATTACTATTAGCCAGGAGGAGGGGAAGAAAGAATATCTAAAATCAACAACTTGAGGTTTTGAAAACAATCTTAAACAAAATTTCGGCACGAAGAGACGGACTGGCGGTCATGGTTTTCCAAATCTTGTAGCTAGTTGACTCCTATACTTCGACGAGTTATGTTTGATGATCCGGTTTCAAAATCAAATCCATTTCAATTAAGCGCTACAAAGAAGCTATAAGCCATAGAATCTGGGCATGTTTAAGCTGCAGTTTGAAAATAAAGACTGGGAGACGAGGCTATATGGCGTTGGAGCTAAATCACCTGTGTTCTTCCTCTGTCCAGGGCACACCTTTCTTTCTTTCATGATCAGAAGAGCGATTGGATGAGTTTCGCTTTCCCCCTGGGCCGTAGAATTGCTTCAGGCCGTCATAGTCGTGATCGTTTACCCACTCTAACGTGAAAGAGTCACCTGTGTACCCAGGAATGGGTATTAAACCAGCCTCAATGTCACCAACATCGTCAACCAATTCTCTGTATTGTTTGATCACGTCACTCACGGTCTTACCCGGGATCATAGTGGCCACATTGAACCATCTATCCGGGGTATCCTTGTCAAATAAAGCCAGCGCATTCTCAAACCTCTTGTTCTCTTCTGGTGTCCATTTTGCTCCTTTGCTTTCCTCAAACAACCAACTGGAGTTCCCGAGATAGGGCGAGGGAGAGAGAATTTCCATCCCTCGGTTCATCAGAGCTAAAAAAAAAAAAGAAAAAGATTTTGGCGACAAAAAGGCTGGAAGAGAGAATCGATGGAAAATTTAGCCGAGGAAAGAATTCCTCGGGAGAACCCAGAGAGGAAATGCGGAGGAAGTAGTGGTTTCTGGTTCTAGGGCCAGATGAGCATTTAATCAACAGGCATTATGTGAAAAGAATCTGAATACCTTTTGGACACGGTTATACGAGGTGAGGGAATCTTGAAAAGGGCACTCAATTCTCCAAAGCCCAAGGAGAATTCAATATGCTTTGGAAAAAGTAGGTGTTAGTAGTAAATTGTCAATGGCAAACATCAGGGCACTTTATGAGATCCTAAAGGCAAGAAAGATAGGGCACCCCTCCATAAAACCCCATTTTCAACGTTAGTCCTAAGACTTCCAACACTTGAGAACAGAAAGGGAGAGCGTTTAAGCTCCAAGAACAGAATCAGAGAATAGGCAAAAGAGTAAGCTATCCAAAGAAACCAAAAAGTCGAAAAAACATCCTATGAGTTCATTCATAGAGCTGCAATTTGGATGCTTAGATAAGAAAGGCATAATGGAGGAAAAGAGATGCTAGTTCTATACCTATACTTGAAAAGAAGCAAGGAGATCCCAATTCCCAAAAGACTTGGAGCAGTAAAAAGTGAAAAAGGGTTTCTTCTCCCTTTATATTTTTCTTTCTGGGTAGAAGGTTTCCTTCTCCCTCGAGTTGTATGTCGTAGAAGGACAGGAACCAAGAAAAACTAGCACTCTGCTAGCTAGCTACGAAAGTTCCACAAGGTGCTCAAGGGATGGGAAGTGAAAGCAAAAGCAATTGGGAGGGAAGGGCGAGGGAGCGCAGAGATCCAGCAGCTTGTAATTGTACTTTTTTTTTTTTGACGAAATTCTGCGACCAAAAGTAGTGATCCACAGCTGACAAGTGATACCAGATCACCTATGCTAGTATTAAGGAAATCAGGCGGTGGGAGACGCAGGGAGATGGAGGTCGTCGAGGTGTGATTGGCTGAATTGGTTGGGACTGCTGCCCAACCCAAAAAGAATGCAAAATTGTTCTCATCAACTAAAATCTCAATTTAGAAAAGGTAAGAGAAAGAGAGAGAAGGTGAAGAGGAGCAAAGAAGCAAGCTGGCTAATCAAAAGCCCGAAGAGACAATTCTGTCATTTGCTGAAATGGATGCAGCATAATAGCGAATTTCATTGTGATTGAAAGGCTGAAAAAAAATAGAAGAAAAAATATACTTACTTAATGAGAAAGTTGGAAGTGGCTTGGGAATGGCGGTGGTGTAATTGTAGGTATTCTTATCCCCTTTTTTGTACGGTTGAAGCTCCTGATCTGCCCTATGTTTAGCTTATTCATCTCTTCCTGTGTAGCCATAAGATTAAAAACGATTCAAGGAAAGCTTTGTGAAAATGATCGAGTAAGTGCTGGGCGGTTTCCTTCCAATTTCTTACTACAAAATTGGGGCGTTGCTATTGCCAGAGCACTTCCTGTAATGTCACAGAAAATTTGCTGCTTGGGACGGAATTACCCGCGAGGTCAAAGTTCTATCGAGTGTGTTTGGATCGTAAGTTATTCGCCCAAATATATTTGCTTACATCACTATTATAATAATTAATATATTTTTTTATCTTTTCTATTATTTTTTTATCTCACATACATCACATCACAAAAAGTGTTACAGTAAAAATATCTCAAAAAACTTATAATCCAAACACACTATTGGGTCTCACTCGTACCTTTCATTTCATCGGATTAAACTAGGGATGGTAGCAGGGACGTACACTTATGGCTGATGGTTGGAATAAAGTGCAAAATGCAAGAAAAAATAACGTTAGATCTTTCATATATCAAACGAACGTTACTAAAAAGTCTATTAAAAAAAACAAATACAACACTCAAAAGGAGAGCTATACATGAAATGAGATGAAATATGACTTATCTCAAAGGGAAAAAAATAAAAGAAATGAAATAGGAATGTTAGCTTCTCCCGGGTTTTTTTTTTTTTTTGGAATTACGATGGATCTGTCTCCAAATTATTTGGAGACAGAGGATGATGGGCTCTCCAAATTACGTAAATTCGATATTAGCGTTAGTCAAGAGGATTGGGTATGCATAAATAAGTACGATCGCAAACTCGCCCAAACTTCTAAATGTGCAACGCCCGAAGACAATAAGAATATAGCACAATCAACAAAACAGTCACTATGGTGGGATCCAATGTACTTGCTGCGCGTACCAAATAAAGCTTAGATGATAAAGTAGGAGTAATATATAGATATACTAATTCAACCACGAGATTAGCTCAGTGGCCACCAAGGAAGTAGGGTTCAAATTCCATCTGTAATGAAAAAAATTTAACAATGGTCCGAAAAGCATCTCTTTGGTTTAGTAAAGTCTGTGTGTACCTGCTAAATCCTAATACAAATTTTTCTAGACTCCCTCTCTCCTGTAATTTATGATAGAATAGATTATACAATTGTTATCGTTTTCGAAAAAAATATATATATAAATACACTAATTCAATACTCTAGAATGCAGTGAAACTGTAGCTTTGTATTATTATTGTTCTGCAGTAGTCTCTATGGTCTGCTCATCTGCCATCTTAAATTTTCTAATGACTGATACGTATTTGAAAATGAAATCATGTTACTTTCAATCCAGTTGTTGAAACTTGTTACGCTACTAACCGGTACCACAATTAAAGGAAATTGACAAAACAATAATAATAATAATAACTTAAGCCTTTGTGTTTACTTTTACCAACGCTACTTATTTTTTCAACAATCGAAATTACTGAAACAAATATAACAAAGTTAAATAAACACTCGAAGGTAATTGAAATTCTGATGCAAAATACAATCTAAGGTAAAATCTACTGACTAATGCCATCCAGTCAATTGGGATTTGACCGTCCCTGCACGGTTCATGGTCCAGATTGGACCTCAAAAAAATGTGCGGCTCAGATAACAAGTGGTAACTCGATTTCCGCGCCAAATGTGGGGCCCACCACTATCTGTTGTGAAAATACAACCTGTGGAAAAAAAATTACACGATGAACAAAAGAAGTTACGCGCTGTTGATGAAGAGGAAATTTGTCAGGGACGGTCCCTGCCCCAAGTCCAGTCAATTGATACGAATACTACTCCTGACCTCTAAGCTGGAGCAACTTCTGCAAAAAATCTGAAACATTGACCCAGTGGCGTTGTTTGGGACTGAAAGTGAGGAGCAGCAGCATACTACTATAGTAAGTATAAGAGCTCGGCCAGAATTTCCAAAAACGGAAAGATTCCTACTACTACCGCGTTTCCAAAAAAAAGGCATGTGGTTAGGTGATGAGGTCATGCGGGCCCCCGCTTGGTTCGTACAGCTTGGCGTTTTCATTAATTAATTTATTGCTCACCTCCCACGGCTTCTACCACGCTTATGGCCTACCTACTAAGGAGTGGTTGCCTAGTCTTTAGGGCATTTACAGAGTGTAACCACGTAGTATTTCACTCTTTTTTATTATATTTTTAATTATAATGAATTACATTTTACACATTATAATAGTATGGATTCACAATCAAATTAAATATTTATTTTAATAATGCACAATTCGTATCTTGTAAATAAATAAATAATTTTTTAAAAATAATTTCATTATTTTTTAAAAAATAAATTATTATCTTTCATTAAATTTTTTTACTTTTTGGATTTTTTATTTTCTAAAAAATAATATTATTAATTTCTGAGTTTAAACAATATATCTTTATCTATCTCTCAAAAAATAATATATTGTTATTTTCTAAAAAATAATTATGTAATTATTAAACAACAATGTAATACCTCAAATGTGAGAATATCATAATAATTCATACTTAATTAATAATTCTTTATGTAATTAATTGAACTCCATAACATAATATTACATAATTTCAAAAAATAAAATACAAATAATAACATAATGAATACTAGTTTTCATTGTTATTGCCTCCGAAGTCCGAACCGTTCCCAAATATGCTCGACCTAGTCCGATCGAAGTTGATTTGGGTAATTTGGAAAATTTTGGTGGTTTTTGTGCAGAAGATGAATTTTATATATTTAGAGTATTCAACATATTTCTAAAACTACTAAAATGTTCATCCATAATCACAAAAATATTAAAATTTTAGAAAATTGTGCAAAGAGGTTGAGGAAAATGAGGGAGAGAGTAAGAGAAATAATATAATAAGATAGTAAAATATGAAAAAAAGGAGTGTCTTGTGTGTTTATATAAAAGGAACCAAAAAATGACCATTGAAAAAAAAATTGAATGTTAACTTGCTCTATGAAAATTTAGCTGTTGTTTATATTTAACAAATTTATCCGTTGCAAAAAAATAACTCACTATTTCCTCTTTTTTAATAGCATTTACACCCATCATTTTAATGATGCGTGTAATGCTCGTTCCACAGCAACAATGGATAGCCGTGTAATAAGTCTGTGTTATACTTCCTATAACATGCTACTGGAGTTGCTCTCATAGGAAATGTGAGATGTCACTATACTATTACGTACCGTCACAAAGGTTGAAGAACTTGATGGTATCAATTTCAACTCTCCAATCGAAATCCAACTTTTGATTAGCTTCTCCTTTTTTCGGTTTTTTTTGTGCGGGTGAAAAATGTTCCAAATGCGTGAACGATTTAGAACGGGTCATAATCGAATAATTAGTATAATTGGATCAATTCAATTAAATGGATATAAATGGGCACCCATTTATGCTATTTTAATAAATGGATATGGATATACCCAATTACCTATTTATTCACTTAAAATTCTACTTATTTTTTTATTTTTTAAATATTGTTTGACAAGAAATAATGATATTTTATTGTTATTAGATTGATAAGAAATTCAAATTTATTTGCTTAATACTCAATAAAAATTGAGTTTAAATGTATAGTTATTTGTAAGTAGGTATAAATGGGCGAGTCGAATAAACCCACCACTCATCAATTAAGCCAAAAATATTCTGGAAAGACTTGTACGTTAATATTAAAATGCAGTGAAGTGGTAAATTTAAACTTAGGAAGGTTCAAACCTCTTAATAAAAGTTGCATTTTTCTTGTAAAAAAAAAAAGGTGCTAAATTTAAACTAAGGAAATGCTTAAATGTGAACAATGATAAATACTATGTACGCATGCATTGGAAAAGGTATTCAATATATATTTACATGATGAATATGGGGGGCCGGCTCTCGCACTTCGCAAACATTTTGATGGAATTTGATGCCAAGAGGATTTGCAAGAGAGTGAATTCTACAATGCGTTCTTTCCGCAAATATCCCGTGTTCTCTGTAATTATATTCCGTTCTCTCTCGTGGTCAACTTAGCAAATAGACGCAATTTGTGCCGGAAATCTGCTTGGGCTCTTATGATACACTGAATTAAACCACACCTAAACCCAGACAAGTGTTTTGGACTCCGGACCCCATACATCAAACCACCCTGGGCCAAGGCCTGGAGGCCCTGGACCCAGAACTCCATCTCAAGTCACACAGAAAAAGAAGAGCGTTTTTTTTTTTTTTTTTTTTTTTTGGCAGAAAGCGAAAAACCGTGGGTTTTCAAGTGAAAGCGTGACTGAAATAAATAGTATATATACCCTTCCAACAAACAAGCGAGGGTTAATTTTACTTTGCATGCTTTAACTACACTCGAATTTTAGTTTAGTTTTCAAACTTTTTTAAAACATGACGATTTAGTTCTTAAAGTATGCGATTTCTCATACTTTATTTCTTAAAATATAAAATCTATTCCACTTTGATTCCTAATGTATAATATTTATTTCACTCTAGTTCTTCAAGTACGTATAAAACTTATCTTACTTAGGTATAAAATTGTCTTTCATCAATAATTTTACTTTAGTGAAATAAAGTTTATATTTTAAGAACTAGAGCGCTGTATATCAAAATTTAGAGATTAGAGTAGAAATCCCAATATATTTGAGGGATACGAAGCCAAATTAATCCAACAAAACAAACAAAAGAAAAAACCTTAAAAGACTTGCGTCTCTAGTTTGATTCTCAATCCCTCTCATTTCTCCTTTCCTTTATATGGTCGGCAGTTCCCATTAGAGAAGGGAGAGAGATATAACCCCATTCAATCAATGTTATGAATCAAGACACGAATATATTTTGCCCCTTTCAATCATTAATATGAATCAAGACAATAATAAATTGGTTTGTTGATTGGCTTCTTTTTTTTTTTTTTTTATTAG